GAGGCAGTAGGATCACTTGAGCCCAGGAGTTTGAGGTTGCTGTGAGCTAGGCTAATGCCACGGCACTCACTCTAGCCAGGGCAACAGAGTGAGACTCTGTTTCCAGAAAAAAAAAAAAAAAGAATTTAACTCAATGACATTAAGACATATAACAAAATGATAATGATGTTGGTATTTGCTACAAAATAATCTGGAGGCGGGAGGGTTAGTACATGAGCACATAGATAAAACAATATTGACCATGAGTTGATCATCATTGATGTCAGATGATGACTACCATGGGTAATGGGTTAAAGGAAGGTCTTTCTCTGTGTGTGTATGTACGTGTAGGAGATATAAATATATATATGCATGTGTTTAAATTTTTCATTATTAAAACTTTTTTAAAAGACAAAAATTAGAAATAACTTTAAAGATTAACTTCTTAATAGTAAAAGGATACAAAAATGAAAAATAGAAGTCAAAAAAAATCATAACCAGGAAAATGCAAAAAGCTATTTAAAGAAACACTAATTGTAAGTAGCAAAATTTTAAAAAATATTTCATTACCAAGTTAAAAATACATACACACAGAAATAACACAAACAGCAGCAGCCAAATATACCACAGAACTAAGAAGCCAAATAATCCTCAACTCTGATTATTGTACTGAATACTATCATCCTAAAACCAGTATCCTTTTTCCCAAAATGTCTTAAAAGAAGATCCCTAATGATGACAAACCATACTTCAGGAAAAAATGAAGGAAGTGGTTCACTCGAGCAAGAGCGGAACTAAATAAAAAAATAAAGAAAAAGGTTTAAACACTGATAATACGCATTAATGCTAAACATGGAGGAAAAAAGACAAAAAGAAGTTTTCGGTTAAATAGCACCTTTATTTTCCCTAATAAATCTTACTTCAATTCTGAAATGGCTTGTTTTTATCATAAAAGCTCAAAATGAAAAGAAAAGTTTGGTAACTACTCTAAACACATTGTGACACTCCTATTTTTTGTAAAGATCAAAGCAAAAACAAATTGCTTACCTTAAGAGATCGATGAACTCTTTTTGATTTTAAATCCCAAATATTAACAGTGTTATTAAGGCCTCCGCTTACCAAATACATGGATGTAGAATTTAAACTGACACATGTCTGCTTTTCCTATTTAAAAAAAAAAAGAAAGAGTTACCTTAATTTAACAGAGCCAGCCCAGAGCTGACTTCCAAGTTTCATACAACACTGAGTAAGCATGTGACAAGCATTTGTTGAATTAAACATTATAAGCATGCTAATATTAATATTTGTACTAAAGAGTCACCTCTCATCATCTTTCACATGGATCCAACAGTTTATATGGGGATCAAAATGGCTCCAAGGTCATCAAACGCTTTCGTGTTCCCTTGCATAGAACGGTGACAACAGAGGAAGCTTAGAAAACACCTGCACATCTTGGTCTCCTATAAGGGCCTGCTAGCCCTTCATATCTCCCCTTGATAAAACCTGCTTTTGTCTCTCCACAGAATATCTTAAATTAAAATCAATCCCTAGCTCGGAATATGCTAAAGAAAGAGGGGGCTTCAAAGAATTTATATTAATAGTTTAGACCCTTCATTTTACAGATGGGGAAGGCTTTTCAAAGAAGTCGAGATACTTGCCCTAAGTTTCCCAGCAAATCTCCCCACAAGAAGCTCGTCTCAGACATCGTTATGATCAAAACCTGACCTCACATTCTTCCCCATCTCTGTAAAGACACCACTCATCCAGTTTCTCAAGATAAAAATCCAGATAACCCTTGATTCCCTGTCCTCTCTCCCCTCTAGTAAGTTCCATAAATGCCAACCCTAAAATAAATTCCACAAGGGCCCCTCTTTATCTATAGCTACTACTAGCACTAACCTAAACCTTGCCAAACCATGACAGCAGCCTCCTACCTCCTTTCCCTGTTTCCACTCCTGCTTTCCTACATCCCATCCTCCATAAATAGGGTGAACTTAAAAAATGTAAATCAGATTATGTCTCTCCTGTTCAAAAATCTTCAATGGCTTTCAACCTAGAATAAACTCGAAACCCATCAACCTGGCTTTCCAAGCCCTATTCACCTGGGCCCTGTCCAGCTCATCTCTTACCATGTTCCTTCTCATTCACTAATTCTCCAGCCACAATAACCTTCTATTCCTTAACACATTGACTGCCACACTAGAAAAAAATTTTTCCTTGGGGCCATGGTGTTTTATTATGAAAATAGAATAAAAACTTCAAAAACAAAATGATCCTTTCTAATTTAATGAATAATGAAAAATGAAATCTATTGACTTCTATTCATTTAATCCACATTTTTAGAATTTATGAATATTAATTGTAACAGTAAGAACATCAACAAGATTTTCATGAACCAACTGCAGGGTTTTGCCCAGGTTTTGCTTCACGAGGCCCCAGGCTCAAAACTAGTGTGAGTTAAATACAACTCACATGGTAATTAATGTGTTAAACATACAACTATGTATTTGCCTCAAGGCTTCCACAAAGCTATTCTCCTTCTCTAGAAAGCTAAATTCCTTGAACCTTGGCTGGATGATTTTTTTCTGGTCAACAGATATCAACGTAAATGCCCTCTCTTCAGGAGACTCCCTTGGCCACCTAACTTGCTATTGCAATATCTAATTTTAGTTCTCTGTATAACAACTTACCAATATCTGAATATTTGTTTACTAGCTTATTGCCTGTCTCCATCAGAATGTCAGTTTCATTATAGCAAAGACCATATCCATTTCAATAAATATCTATAAAATAAAAGGCTAAAAATACCGAGGTTATCAAGTTCTACTCACAATGAGTATCTATGAGTGTCACCTATGTTGTGGTGCCACCAGTAACTATGCTACACAGAACATGTTGCACGTTTTTTCCTATTTAATCTACAGATGCAGGACAAAGCTACAATAATTGTTCTAATCTCTAGTTGAATGCTATGGGAAAAAAAAATCAGTGAAATGAAGTTCAAAGGGGACATTTTATGATTTAGTTAAAAGTAAAAAGGCAAGCTATGTAGGTTTAGGCTTAGGCAAATCATCTCACCGTTCTGAGCTTATGTTTCTTCATCTGAGAAATGAAAGGTAAGGACTAGATCTACTGTTCTTGCCTTGAGTCCACACATCTCAAAAACATCCTGTGCTCAAGAGAGATTCTTAAAAGGCTGTGGCTGGTCCCCCTCCTCTTTAGCCCCACAACAGACTACCCAAGGTTTCTTCTAGTTCTGAAATTTGGACCAAGTGTTATCACCTGCCATGTATAAAAATAGCAGGCTGCACATTACGTCAATGTTTCAGTATAGTTGCTGTAATTTTCTTGCAGGTACCATTCTAAGAATTGACTTTGGTCTAAAGAGACTACTAAGATTTAGAATCTGATCATCACTGCAAATCAGGGCAGTTTGCTAAGAACTATCAAAATAACCTTTAAATAAAATAGACAAACACGGTGTCCTTCAAAGATAGCCATATTGGGATTCCAATCGTCACAATGATTAGAATTACTCTTAAGGAATCAGAACAAAACCTATATTTATAGCTGTTGATAGAAGACCTTTTCTTATGTTAATGTATTATTAATGTAGCTAATGAACTTAAATAATTAATGGAAATTATGCAGTTATTACAGGAACTCAGTACCCCCAAGACATAACATTAGAGGTACAAGTTTTTAAATCTAAAAACAACAGCAGGTCAAATTTCTAGGATATTTAGTAGCCTATTATATCCATAATAATACTCTCAATACCAATCTGTCCATGTTAAACAGGTAAAATACAAAAACAAAGAAAATAATCATGAACCTAAAGTTCCACTCTAAAAATGATTTTAAAATAAAAAGGATCAAATTTTATTTTCCCAATAGAAACGATCTAATACCTCAAAGAGCACAGGAGTAACAGGACTTGGAAGGACTATAAAAGGAAAGGTTAATCAATAAAAGTTAAAGAACCAATGTTTGCAAAATATTTTTATAAATGAATTAACATAAATTCAAAATTAGAACTAAAATGATCTCACTTTTAACCATCTGCAATATGATGATTACTTAACTATAAGAAAGAGGGCTAAGAATTATAGCAACTAATTTGGAACATTTACAAAACCCTTAGAATTGTGTCACACTTGTAAATATCATGGTTTTTTTAAATACTTAAAAAAAAAAAAAGCCCAAACACTGTTTCACTGATTTCAAGGGATAATGCACAAAAGTAGCACGTATAGTGGTGGAGATGGAAATCAAAACTGTTTTGCTGTTGACATTAAATCCAACAAATGTTTGTTGACCACCTATGATCCAAAGATCTGAAGGTGACCAAAATGTTTTGCCTGCTCTTCAAGAGTTCAATCTGTCTTATCGATCAGGGATGTCCTCTGTTTCAATTTTACTGAACTCGGTTTGAATACACAGGGTGCCTCAAATTCCATTTCTACCCTGAGCAGACGTTCTCACTGCCCCAGCCTCCAATATCTCTGGGTTAGAATTGAGGTTCAAGCCAATCCCATCCAGTAACTTTAGCAAAGGATTGATAAAAATTGTAAGCCCTCTTTAAATTAGCAGAGTTTATAGTCTATTGTCCTGTTTTCTGTCTAACTGGGTCCCTTACCTATCCCAGATTGTAAAATTATGACAATTCATAATAATTTAGGGTCTGTGATGAAAACTTTGAAACTAAAATAAAATAACTACGAACTACTTATATCTTTTTATTTAGACCTTACCCTATTTTAAAAAGCAGTAACTTTAAAGGAGCATGTGTGAATGGAATTGAAGAAGTAAGCATCATCCTCAGTCAGAGGGATTAATTTATACAAATAAAAGGATAAGGAAACAACATGCAATGAGAGCTTCATTTAAATGCCCTGGGACCAAAGCTCATTTGACAAAGCCATCCTGTTCAAGGAGCATACAGGGAGGCTTAGGCAGGCCCCTCGGGATGAAGTGGACAGCCTGAAGCAGAGGGCTACCATCAGATATGGATCATTTACTGATGATCCTAAGCCTAAGGTCAGTAAAGTAGTGCTGTGTCATTAGGGTTCATATGGTCAGGTCAACCAAGTAACCTTGGTGGGACACAGTCCTAAAACAGGTAGCAACAGGGACCCTCCCAAAGGGGGGAAATGGAGAAAGTAACACTTAGTGACCAAAATCCAAGTCCTTAACTGTTCCCCTAGGATCCAATATTATTTTGCCTAAAGATGCTTCAGTAAACACACATACCTTACCTTTATGTGTTATTGTACTACTTTAAGCCTAGGTTAAGAATGACACTTTTGAACACCTTTATATTTAGTTGCAAGCATCATAATAAAGAAGCAATTACCACTCAAGCAAAACTAAGATTTTAAAAAGTTTAAAAAAAAAAATCACTTACCCCTTCAGCAAGCTCTAAAAGTGGAACAGGTTTACATTTGCAACTTGAAACAACTATTTTGTCGCCACTGGAAGACGCTGTCACTAGAAAGTTATCTGAATGAAGAGTTATGGAGCATCAAACCATCCTGAGCATCTACAGCACTAGATTATTATTGTAAGAATTGCAATTATGAAAGCAAACACACTAAGAAGACAAGCAAATAAGTATAACTTACACTTTAGGTTTTAAAAATGGCTCGGGTAACTAATTATTAAGACTAATTCTCTTTGCTGCTCCTACTACAGGGAAGAACTATCCTTTCTGTCTGCGCTATCACTTGAAAGCTATTTAATCCATGTGAAATACTACTCCGTTTTCAAAGAGTAGGCCAGAAAGTCTAATTTTATCCTTCAAGAATGAGAGCAAGATAAAAGCACCATCAGCAAGTATCAGTCAGCTTTTTCATTTACAAAAACTGTTAAAGATAGTTATTTGTTAACCCAGTGCTTGGTACCAATTTAAGATAGAAAGGAAACATCCACACTAGTCTTCTATCTTTCCTCAAAAAAAAAAAAGCCTGATTTTTTTCAGGACTGGAGTTTTTGTGATAGAATATTTCAATCTTAAATGTATTAAGAATGAATATTACAGTAACTGTAGCAAATATAAATAAGTGTGATTAAGTAGCAACTGTTTATGTTATGGAAGAATTTTATTTTAACTTTATTTTAAATGAAAGTAAATTTAAATTAATATTAATTAAAAATTATATTTTCCTTATTTTATATAACTTATAAGTGAAACCATTAGTAAACACAAAACAATGTATTTCAAAACTAACGTGATTAAATACAATATAACCAAGAATAAGAGTCTGATTTTGAGTCATAACAAATTAAAATATCAGAAGTTTAAATCTATGCCTTTTAGCAAGCAAAGTCTGCGAACAAATGCAATGGAGAAAGGTAAATTAGACACGCAGAATCCTAACCACATTACTTTTGGAGGGTTTGCATAACATTCACATATTTTGTAAACAGAAATGAATTGTAATTTTATTATGATACATGATTCAAACAAAATCAGTTCTACCTAGATACTACAACATTGAGAAAAATAAATCATTTCCCTCTCCTTGACCTCTTCCTCTATGTACCACTTAGAATATAGAAAAGGAAGGACTGAAGGAAGATATTCTGAGGGTAATCTAATTACTTTTTAGACTTCTTTTGTTGTTTTAGAAGTGATGAGAAAGTCAGGAACATGAGAAAGTAAGGAACATAACCTAAAGGACCAAAAACCAAAAAAGAAAAAGAAAAGGAAGAAAACTAACCTCCCTAGCACTTCACATTAATGCCATCCTTGGAATCAATACGCCACATGGACCCCAAGCTGCTGAGTCTGGGAACTTTGTGTTCTTCAGTTTTTCATCTCCATGGAAGGGATCAAAGTCTTATTAAGAGTAAGACTGTATGGGGGCTTTCAGCACACATCTACTTTTACAAGAAAACTATATAGAACTAAGAATACAGTTTCCAAAGGCCATACAACACTATCTCATAGCCCGACAGACTATTAAGCAGTACATTAGTAAATCCCAACTCCTAGTAAAACTCCTTGGAACAAAAATAAACCAAAAATAATTAATTTTATTAAGAAATGCTACTTTTCTCTTACACAGTAACAGGGAAAATTAAGTTCTCAACACAATGAAAATCTAAAAATATAGAGCAGCAACTTCATATATTTGTCACTCTCTTCAAAACATTTTCCCTACGTACATCTGGAGAGTCCTTCAAATATGTAGTCACTTCACCATGAGTTTGATTAATACAGCACCAAAGTGATTTATTACTTTAATACAGAAGCAAGGAATGATAAAGGGGTAAATTTAATTCAATAAGAAAATTCATTTTTGTTACGTACTTGCAAGAATAATTAGGTTGGCATGAAAACTTCTAGTATTTTTGTTCACAGATCAGTCACATTTTAAAGCTTTGATATTTTTCCTTTCATCAGGAAGTAGAATATCAATATTTCGGTATTGATGAAAATCAGACAAACATTAAAAATATTCATTTGTTGTTTCAGAAATAATGTACGAGTTTCACAAAAGAATAATTTCTAACATACCAATCATATAGAACATTTTCATACAAAAAGTGATAAGAGTACTTTGTTGATAGCAGTGGTTCTCAACTGGGGGTAATTTTGGCAATTCTGGAGACATTTTTGGCTATCACAGCTAGAGGCTACTGGCATCTAATGCACAGAGGCCAAGAAAGCTTCTCAACACCCTACAATGCATAGAAAAGCCCCCACAACAAATTATTTGCCCCAAAATGTCAATAGGGGTTCAGAAATTCTAGTTTACAGCCTTCACTCCCTCATTTATTTTACCCATGTTTAGGAGCTCATGAAGACAGTGAGGATGTCAATTAGAAACATAAAAAACTTAGGAAAAAATCAATCTAGACAATGTTACTATGTCTGTTTAGGAAATGTTACTTTCATCACACATAGAAAGGAAGAGAAATACAGAGAACACTCAGTAAGATGGGGATGTTGGACAATTTTTTATCTCCTCCCCATCTTGCTCCTGCCTTCGAGTTCTGTCTTTAATTTCCCAATCAGATCCACAAATGCCCAAATGTAGATGCAAAAACTCGTTCTAAAACCTTTCAGGATCATTTCCATCCACCTTATTACCTACTATATTTCATTTGGTTCAATAACAAACTGTTGATAACACAACTAATTCTATGGTGTGGATCTAGTATACATTTTTTTAAAATAGCAGTATTTCTGAATGAAGTGGATTGCAACTAGATTTTTTTAAAATGAAACCAACAGAGAAAATCAGAGTGCATTCGTATGATACACTGTTTTTAAACTACTATTTCACTTTATCTTTGGTAACAATGCAAAATATGCTTCTCATTATGGATCACATACAAAAGTTTCACCAACACTGGTTGTTTAATCTAATAAAAAGTGGTTATTTAAAAAAAAGAAAGGATACTATTGCTGCTCCAACATATTGAGCTGATTCCATGTGGTGATGTGTGTGGGTTGAATTTATCCACCAATGTCAGAGATGAAGCATCCCATATTTTAATATCATCTCCCGATGAAGCAAATCTGAGGTTTTCCTGCATGACTGCACCTACAAATGTTTCAAACAATATATTTAAAAAACAAGGATAGGCAAAAAAAAAAATATATATGCGTGTATGTATATAATTAATCATTTACTCTAAAACAAGTGATTCCATTCATCCACTTTTGTTGCAAACAGTGCCCTCACCACAAAGTAGTTGAAGTGATGATCCTAAAACATAAATCAAATCACATTCTCTTAGTTGACCCTTCCAATGGCTCCCCACAACAATTATAATATAATGAAATCCAATCTCCTTACCCTGCCTCACACGACCTGGCTCCTATGTAATCCTCCTCCCTCTTTTCTCAGGGGGCCACCAGACTCTGGACACGCTGGCCGCCTTTCTGTCTCATGGAACGAGGCAAGGGCATTCTCACCTCAGTGTCTTCTCATTTGCTCTCCCTTCTGCCTGGAATGCTCCCCCAGATTTCCCATGGTCATCTCCTTCTCATCATTCAGGTCTCAGCTCAAATGTCTCCTCCTCCGAAAGGACTTCGCTGACCACTCTGGCTAAAGCAGCCCCTTACCAGTTACCCTATATACTAATACCTGATTTCCTTTTGTCATGGCACTTCGTACTCTCCAAAATTCTTATCTGTTCTACTAATAATGTCTGCTCCCCCATACCAAAGTCTTGAAACATTCCTGGCACACAGTAGGTACTCAATAAATAACTGTTAATAGGTAACTTCCCAAACTTTCAAAAAATGTATGATAAATTAGCATTCCTGCAGGTCAGAATCCAGTCACTCCAGTTTTTGAAAATCTAAAACTAGCAATACAGCCAAAGGAGATGCCACCAAGCCACCAAGTCCCTATATCAATACTTGGTCTATAATACCCTCGCTCATATTATTCACGGTATTTAATAGATAGTTCACACACATAATTCTAACAAGGTGATTTCACAAACCAAGGCAGTCTAGAAGATCGATGTCAAGGAAGCTGCTCTAGGCAGACACTTTAACAGCAGCAAGTAGTAATGGATGACAGGAGAAAAAAATTCCCAAAACTACATGGAGAAAGAGGAGGAGGAAAAGGGCATAGCAATATACCCCATCACAGCTTCCTAGTATGGACAATGCAAGAGCACTGCACAACATCAGTGGTGTTATAGACAGATCCCCAAATCATCAACAAAACATCACACTTATGGCTAATATGCCCCATTTTGGAGGACAAGTTAAAGACATAATAAATTATAGAAACCTTTCATTCTAAAGAGACAAAAAAAATCTTAATGTGTTTATAAAAAGGCTAAAACTTTTGTTAACTAGATAAGTTACTCATGTGATTCATTATGCTCCATTCATCAGATAAATACAGCGCTACTAAAAGCCATTAAAGTCGCCTATTGAAACAAAGACATACAGTGTTTGGATTTGAGCCTTGAACATGTGTAACAAGTGCCCTCTTGGTCTCCAACTCAAGGAACAATGAAGTCCAGAAAAGCGATCTCTAAGTTCAGTAAACACAAGCACAAGATGTGTCTACTGTAACCTGACACCATGTCTGTAGAGCAGTATGGTGTAGTGGGCAGATCACTAAAGCCAGGGTTCAGAAAAACTAGGTCCGAATGATCTGTCCCAACTTAGGTGACATAACTGACCGAGTCACTTAATGTCTGTTTTCTTCTGTGAAAGCGGAGCGAGGAAGAGGACCATCTGTCCACCTACCTCAGTCTTCTGAGAACTGAGCACATTCTAGTGAGAGCATTATTACAACAGGCCCTCAAAGAGGGTCCCACTGAAAGCGAGCAGTCAGGATACAAGGCGATAACGGACTGCTGGCCCTGGTTTAGGGACAGCGGCTGCATGAAACAATTCAACCACAACACTCAGCTGAAATAAAAGTTTTCCAACTTTCATTCGCCAAAATAGCATTTTACTTGCAGAAGAACTGTTCAACTGGGGTTACCCTGTAATATGCTTTCGAGTGCCTGACAAGAGTCGTATTTGAGGATTACAAAAAGGGAGACAGACTTTATGGAGAGGACGCAAACTTTCCGGAGGCAGCACACCCCCCAGAGCCGCCGCCAACCTACCCCAGCTGACCCGGCCGCGGCTCCCGGGGCACTTCCGCGCCAAACGCGCCGCCGCGCCCCTGCCTCGCAACCGCCCGCAGCACCGGGCCGGCGCGGGCGCGCGGAGCCCAGGGACCTCCCTCCCGCCCAGAGGTGGCCGGAGGGCGGCCGGGGGTCAGAAGAGAGCACGGACGCGGCGCGCGGCGGCCCGCTGACCCCGGGCCCTCCGGAACCTCACCTCTCCGCGGCTGCACAACAGGGGGCCACGGCGCGGCCCGTTCCGCGCTGGGCTTCCGGCTCCCGCCTGGACTGTTAAACTTCGGCGGCCGGAAGTCCCGCCCCCTGATGACGACACCAGGCGAGCCGCGGCCCGTAGCCGGGGCTCTTGTCTGCAGGGCAGGACCAGGGGCAGAGGTTCCGGCTAGGGCGGTGCTGGGTCTCCGCTGAGGAAATTATCCCAGCGCCAGGGCGGCTCCCTCCACGCCCTAGCGACGGAGCTCTGGCTACTGGCAACTGCTCTTTGTCATTTATTTGTTTGCTGACTGCCTACTGTGTGCCAGGCACTATGCTAGACTCTGGGTGTACAGTGATGGGTTTAGCCTGTGGATACAGGGGCACAGTGAACATTTGTGGTCCCTAGCCTCGTGTAGCTTACAGTCCACTATATGAGGCTGACCTTAATAAATAATTGGATACTTAAAAGGGAAACTGACAATTGCTACAAAGGAAAGATTTATAAGATGGACAAAGGCCCATAATAAGGGAAATAAACGTGGATGTGGATTTCAGTAAGGATTTCCTGAAGAGGAAGCCATGGAGAGCAGGTAATGCCACATGCAATTTACAAACCAGGAAACGCACTCAGGCTAAGAAGTAACCCAAAGAGTAAGCGTCTGAGCTAACTGACTTCAAAACCCATGATCTTTCTTTCGCATCATGCTGCGGGGGTCAGGAACATCAAACATCATCTGGTTGGGAATTCTTTTGAAGGGGATGTGTTTCAAGCTGGAAAAGGGAGTTGCTGAGCTGAGTTTTCAAATGCACTTTCTAACAAGGCCTGTCATAGCTCCGCTGGCAATTTTTGCTGAGAATACTTATAATAAATATGGGACAGCTCTTCTGCAAACAACGTTATTATACTTTCATCACAAGTACACACAGTGTGTGTTTCTGAACTAGTTAGTTACATAAGCCCCAGTTATTTGCGTCCATATTGCAAATAACTGAAAAATTCTAAGAAGTATATTTTTTTGGAACAGAAATTGAAATCCTAGCCAAGTTCAGAGGTTATGGGAAGCAGCAAAAGGAGAAACATAGGAAGCAGCAACTACCTTAATTGCACAGGCTGCAGTTCTTGAGGTTATGAAATCTTAATTTTGGCAGGGATGAGGCCCAAAAAGTCGGGAACTGAGAAAGTAGCGTAAGGGAAAGGGGGCAGGGAGAGAATTGGGGCAAGTGGGGAAAAGAAACCTTAAAATGGAAAGGACAATTAATTAAATCTCTAAAAATTCAAGCCAGCAGGAAAATTGAGACTAGACTATATGCAAAAATATATAACATAAAATACATATCATGATATATATGATATAATAATAGATATTGAATATAAAAATACTTATTGAACACTTACACTTTGCTAAGCACTATATTTGTGTGCGTAGATACAATGTGTATATGTGTGCAATATATATAATTTCATCCTTCTAAAAACATATAAAACATGTACTTTCATATATCCCCACTTTAAATATGAAGAAACAAAGGTTAAGTAACTTCCCCAAGGTCACACAGTTAATAATTAGTAGGGACAGGAATTGAACCCAAGACCATGTAACTACAAAGGCTGTGCTCCAAATCATAAATGCTATAAAGTCAAGAGCCAAAACACAGCATAAAAAGCCAAATGAAAACCTCTACTCCTCCCTCCCCACTGGTGCTTCAGCCTCATCAAATCTTATACTGGCCCTGTAACAGTCCTCTCATTCTTGTTCCTATGTCTGTGCCTATGTGAACCCAGTTCTGTGTAATACGCTCTACAAGCAATAGAAGCCAAATGTTGGAAGCCTCACTAATACATGAAATATATAAACATATACAGCTTTCTACTGGATAGCTACCTGTGGAAGAATGAAACCTCTCACCTCTCACAAAAATTAATTCAAAATGGATATCAGACTTAAACCTAAGGCATGAAACCTTAAGAATACTTAAAGAATATGTTGGGAAGACACTTTCAGACATCAGCCTAGGCAAGGAATTTTTGAAAAAGAACCCCAAAGCAATCACCGCAGCAACAAAAACAAATAAATGGGATCTGATCAAATTAAAAAGCTTTTGCATGGTCAAGGAAACTATCATTAGAGCGAATAGACAGCCTACAGAATGGGAGAAAATATTTGCTCTCTACACATCTGATAAAGGGCTGATAACTAGAATCTATCTAGAACTCAAAAAAATCAACAAGAAAAAATCAAACAACCCCATCAACAAATGGGCAAGGGAAATGAACAGAAACTTTTCAAAAGAAGACAGAATAATGGCCAGCAAACATATAAAAAAATGCTCAACATCTCTAATCATTAGAGAAATGCAAATCAAAACCACAATGAGATATCACCTAACCCCAGTGAGATTGGCCTCTATCAAAAAATCCCAAAACAACAAATGCTAGCGAGGATGTGGAGAGACAGGAACACTCTTACACTGTTGGTGGGACTGCAAATTAGTGCAACCGCTGTGGAAAAGAATTTGGAGATACCTCAGAGAGCTAAAAATAGAAATACCATTCGATCCAGCAATAGCAGTATTAGGCATCTACCCAAAAGAGCAAAAAACATTCTATGATAAAGACATCTGCACCCAAATGTTTATGGCAGCACAATTCACTATTGCAAGGATGTGGAAACAACCCAAGTGCCCGTCAATTCATGAGTGGATTATTAAAATTTGGTATATGTATACAATGGAATATTACTTAATCATAAGAAATGACAGTGATCTAGTACCTCTTGTACTTTCCTGGATTAAACTTAAGCCCATTATCCAAAGTGAGGTACCACAAGATCGGAAGAATGGACTCCACTTGTACTTGCCATCAAATTGGTACTAACTAATGAACACCAGGTTGCTCACATGGCAGTAATACTCTTCAGCGATTAGGGGGATTGGGGGGGTAAACCCACAACTAAAGGACATGGGGAGCGTTGTAGAGGGGAAGGGCATGCCTCTAACCCTCACTTGAGTGAGGCAAAGACATAAAGTGTAACCATAATGTTTGTACCCTCACAATATCCTGAAATAAAAAAAATAAATAAAAAATAAAAGTAGACATCAAGGTGAGCAATATTTGTAGACACAAAGAGAAATATTTCATAACAATAAAAGGGTAAATAAAAACAGAAGCTATGTCAATTATAAATTTAGGTGTGAACAATAACAGAATTTTTAAATATTAATATGTGAAAATAACTATCAAAACTAAAGGGCAGAAAAGGCATATACATAATCATTATTGGAGATTTTAACAGAATTCTCTCAGAAATTAATAGAACACCCAGATAAGGAAAAAAAAAAAAAACCCAGTAAAGATGTGGCAGATGTGGATACTATCAGCTATGATAACTGACATTTATAGAACACTATACCCAACGACTGCAGGCTAAACATTTTTGTCAAATATACATGGAATATTTACAAAGACAGACTATATGCTGAGCCATAAAACAAGTCTCAATAGATTTAACAGAATAAATCTTACAGAGTACGTTCTCTGATCGCAATAGTACTAAATATTAGTAGAAAACAATAACACATCTAGAAAAGTCACCAAACATTTGAAAATTAAACAACTTTACTTCTAAACAACCCATAGGTGAAAGAAAAATATCAAATCACACACAAAAAAATTAGAAAATATTTGTACTGAGTGATAAGTAAAATACAACATATAAAAATTTATGGAAAAAGCTAAAGCAGTGTTTAGAGAGAAATATTAGGTTTAAATGTTTATATTATGAAAAAAAAGAAAGGTCCAAAATCAATTGCCTGTGCTCTTTCTTAAGGAACCTAGAAAAAGAACAAATTAAACACAAAGATTAGAGTACAGAACAATGAAATTAAAACAGATGAACAATAGAGAAAAACTAATAAAACCAAAGCTGATTCTTTGAAATTATCACTAAAATGGATAAATCTCTAGGTAGACTTAACAAGAAGAAAGAGAAAATACAAATTACCAGTATCAAGATTGAAAGTGAGACCGTCAATACAGATCTAAAGCATATTTAAAAAGATAAGAGAATAAATAGCATGAACAACTCTATGCCAATAAATTTGGTGACTTAAATAAATTGGACAAATAACTTGAAAGACACAAATACTAAAAGTGACACAAGAAGAAATGGATCATATGAGTAGCCCTATAGGTACTATAGAAATTAAATTCAAAATTAACAAAACTATCTCACAAAGAACACCCCAGGATCAGATGACTTTACTGTTGAATTCTATCAAACACATAAGGATGAAATAATACCAATCCAATACAAACATTTTAAGCAAACAGAACAGGAGAGAATATTTGCTAAACTCATTTTTTAGGGCAGTGTTATTTTGATACTAAAACCAGACAAAGACATTACAAGAAATAACCATAGACTCATATCCCTCATGCAGAAAGAAAAAAAATTTTTTAGGGCAGTGTTATTTTGATACTAAAACCAGACAAAGACATTACAAGAAATAACCATAGACTCATATCCCTCATGCTGAAAGAAAAAAAATTATATATGAGAATGTTTAAAACATACAATAAATCACAAAAAATTCCTGGAAATTGAACTCTGCATCCTGGCACCAAATACAACAAGCGTATTTCCACAAAGCTGCTGTTTATCCCTTCCCAGCTGACGGTAAGCAGAACCTTCCCTTGACAAAGTTGTGAAGTCCTTGAAGAGTTTTATTTGTTTTCTGTGTTCTCAGCTGTCCCTTTGTAGGTGTGTGCCTCCTTCCAGTTCAAGACCTCTAGGTTTCTTAGTCCTGTTACCTACAGAAAAATTTTAAACATTCTGATATTAGCCATTTATGCTTGTGAATTAGTTGGCAGATTATAATTTTTTTTTTTTAGAGCTTTGATGTCTTCCTGCAGCAGACATTTAGAGTGTGTTCATTTCTTCATTCATTCACTTAACTGGTTTTTTTTTTTTTTTTGAGAGAGTCTCACTGTGTTGCCCAGGCTAGAGTACTGTGGCATCAGCCTACCTCACAGCAACCTCAAACTCCTGGGCTCAAGC